TTGTGGGAAAATTCTACTACCAGTCCTTCATCACCTTACACGAAATAGGGTGAATAAATCTCATTACAATCATGTTTTTGTCAAAGTTGTGAAGGTTAATCCAATTAATTCATCCAGCATAAATCCGGAGGATAATCTGGCCGTCATTTTCCGGTGAGATCAACTAACGAATATCTTCGTCGTGCCCTTTCATACGAAATGACTCTATCTCCAACAATGATATGTTAAGAAGTTCATTGAAACCCAGTTGCTATTTGTATTGACAGTCTGGTATGCATTCACCGGAGCCTCAGGAACACCGTCTGCAAGAGGGTTCAGGTTAAGCCCACCGACAGGTGGCCAATAGGAATCTGCAGTTGTTTTCTGGTGGGATCCATCTTCTAATCTTTTCACCATAATCACACACACCCACACACACGCACACACATGCACACTTTCACTCGAAATGGAATTAGGCCTAACATGTGTCCTCAAAGCGATTCCCCGAAGGCCACCTTTTAACTCGAGTTTTTCCGAAAAAACAGCCAATTTAATGTGATTTCAATTTTAACTATGAGGCAGGACCGCTCCGAAGTTGGTGAAAAAAAATGACCAGCTTCAAAGCTGCTCAATTAACACACAATTATATGTTGTCATATTTGATGTCGTCGATGCTGTCGGCAAAACTTTTGGGAAGTTAGGATGACCACGATGGTGTGGCGCCCTGTATGGTTGCAGTTTACTTTCGATTAAGTGAAGTGGGTTGACCTCGTTGTCACAACTTGGTCTTGTTGTCAGGGCGACTTAATAGAATGCACCTTGTCCGAAGTCGTCTGCCATAGTAGTTATCATAATCGCCAGCATCAGACCGTGTACTTGGCACATCCTCAGACGTTTCGCCGGCATCGTAGTCGGTCACACCACCACTCCTCTATCTGGTCTGGCCCATCTATCCACTGCTTACCCTCTTATCCTACTCCTCCCTATCACAACTTCTCTCTCGTTTACATTCCACTCGTCAAAATGTGTGCCACTTTGTGGCAAATCTAGTGTGGCCTCATCACACTTGCTATTCACCCCGACCATCTATCTCTCTTTCTATCGGCTAATCCGACTCGGGCCTCCTATCTCTATCTTCCTCGTGGTCGCGTTCTGGTTGACCGGTTTCATTCGGTTCCAGTCCCAGTCGCAGGGTCAGTTTTACTCCGGGCGCTATTTCTCAGAGCCATGCAAGCACGTACACTGTCGTCTTCCCTTCACGCCTCCTCTCCTTCGTTAAACCCATGTTGCCTGAGCAAACTATGGACGCATATTTCTGGTCGCATGCGAAATATAAAGTGCATTTCTGGTACATTTTGGCCATAACGCCGAATTTACGGGACGGTTTGCTTACCCGTCTGCCTTGAGAAATAGCGCCCGAAGTAAAACGGTCAAGGGCACTAGAACCGAGTGAGATCGGCCAACCAGAAAGATAAGGATCAGAGCTACGGGACCACGAGGGGGATCCGGATTGTAGGCACGATTAGGATTTGCAGATCGAAAGAGAATAGCAAGTGTGATGAAGCCACACTAGATTTGCCACAAAGTGGCACACATTTTGACGAGTGGAATGGAAACAAGTCAGAAGTTGTTATAGGGCGGCAGTGGGATAAAAGAGGGTAAAGAGTAGATAGATAGACAATGACAGAAAGAGGAGTGGCAGAACGGTTGTCGAGAGATTGACTTTATTTGTCTCTTTGACGAGTTTGCGGCAAGACTCACCGATGCTTCCGACCATGATGCCGGCGAACGTCCGAGAATGTACCAAGTCCACGGTCTGATGCTGGGAATCATGACAACTACTAGGGCAGACGACTTCGGACTAGTTGCGTTCTACCCAGTCGCCCTGACAACAAGACCAAGTTGCTACAACAAGGTCATTCTACTTGAAACGTTTTGGGAATTCAGTCAGTCCACCGTCCGACGTTGGAAAGCACACTGCGACGCAGCCGGAGGCCGCAGTAGTGACCAAGTTTCGCAACCGAGGTCAGACGACCGTTGCTACCCAAAACACTTTTTGTCCGCCGAAACGATGAGAAGACCACATCGAACTGGCAGACACGACGTCTCCACTCGGCTCTTCATGTCTACTTCAGCTTCTATGAGCCCTGATTCATCAACACGATCTCTGGACCAAGTCAGCTGCAACAGTCCGACGCGGTACCGTTTGCACGACAGTCTTCCTGTCGATTGGCAAGTGTCCTGTTTGACCACATGCAGGCAGACATACAGACAGGTCGCCTGTATGTCTTGTGTGACACACGGACAAGTGGGTCTGTGG